AATCTGTAGATTGCTTTTGGCAAGATGGCCGTTTTTTACTATATTAATCCTGCGGAACCATGAGCATGGGAGATCTTTCCATTTTCTGAGATCTTCTTCGATTTCTTTCTTCAGAGACTTGAAGTTCTTGTCATACAGATCTTTCACTTGCTTGGTTAGATTCACACCATGGTATTTTATATTATTTGTGACTATTGTGAAGGGTGTCATTTCCCTAATTTCTTTTTCAGCCTGTTTATCTTTCACGTAGAAGAAGGCTACTGATTTGTTTGAGTTGATTTTATAACCAGCCACTTTGCTGAAGTTGTTTATCAGGTTTAGGAGTTCTCTGGTGGAAGTTCTCGGGTCACTTAAGTATACTATCATATCATCTACAAATAGTGATATTTTGACTTTTTCCTTTCCTGTTTGTATTCCTTTGACTTCTTTTTGTTTTCTAATTGCCCTGGCTAGGACTTCCAGTACTATATTGAACAGGTAGGGAGAGAGTGGGCAGCCTAGTCTAGTCCCTGATCTTAGTGGGATTGCTTCAAGTTTCTCTCCATTTAGTTTGATGTTGGCTACTGGTTTGCTGTATATTGCTTTTACTATGTTTAGGTAGGGGCCTTGAATTCCTGATCTTTCCAAGACTTTTATCATGAAGGGATGTTGAATTTTGTCAAATGCTTTCTCAGCATCTAGTGATGATCTAGAGATGATCATGTGGTTTTTTTTTTTTATTTGAGTTTGTTTTTATGGTGGATTACATTGATGGATTTCCAAATATTGAACCATCCTTGCATTCCTGGGATAAAGCCCATTTCATCATGATGGATGATTGTTTTGATGTGTTCTTGGATTCGGTTTGCTAGAATTTTATTGAGTATTTTTGCATCGATATTCATAAGGGAGATTGGTCTGAAATTCTCTTTCTTTGTTGGGTCTTTGTGAGGTTTAGATATGAGTGTGATTGTAGCTTCATAGAACAAACTGGGTAGTATTCCTTCTGTTTCTATTTTGTGGAATAGTTTGAAGAGAATTGGTATTATGTCTTCCTTGAAGGTCTGATAGAATTCTGCACTAAAACCATCTGGTCCTGGACTTTTTGGTGGGGAGACTTTTAATGACTCCTGCTATTTCTTTAGGGGTTATGGGACTGTTTAGATGGTTTATTTGCTTCTGATTTAACTTTGGTACCTGGTATCTGTCTAGAAAATTGTCCATTTCATCCAGATTTTCCAGTTTTGTTGAGTATAGGCCTTTGTAGTAGGACCTGATGATTTTTTTGAATTTCTTCAGTTTCTGTTGTTATGTCTCCCTTTTCAGTTATGATTTTATTAATTTGGATACTGTCTCTGTGCCCTCTGTTTAATCAGGCTAAGGGTTTATCTATCTTGTTAATTTTCTCAAAGAACCAACTCCTGGTTTTGTTGATATTTTGTATAGTTCTTTCTGTTTCTACTTGGTTGATTTCAGCCCTGAGTTTGATTATTTCCTGACGTCTACTCCTCTTGGGTGTATTTGCTTCTTTTTTTTCTAGAGCTTTCAGATGTGCTGTCAAGTTGTAATGTATGCTCTCTTCAGTTTCTTTTTGTAGCCACTTAGAGCTATGAGTTTTCCTCTTAGCACTGCTTTCATGAAGTCCCACAAGATTTGGTATGATGTTTCCTCATTTTCATTAAATTCCAAAAAATCTTTCTTTATTTCTTCTTTGACTAAGTCATCATTGAGTAGAGCATTGTTCAGTTTCCACATGCATGTGGGTTTTCCATTGGTTTTGTCATTATTAAAGACCAGCCTTAGTCCATGGTGATCTGATAGGATGCAAGGGATTATTTCAATCTTTTTTGTACTTTGTATTTTCAATCTTTTTTGTATTTTCTGTTGAGGCCTGTTTTTTTTTTTTTTTTGACCAATTAATTATATGGTCTATTTTGGAGAAGGTACCATGAGGTCCTGAGAAAAAGGTATTTATTTTTTTACGATGAAATGTTCTATAGATATCTGTTAAATCCATTTGATTCATAACTTCTGTTAATTTCAAAGTGTCTCTGTTTAGTTTCTGTTTCTATGATCTGTCCATTGCAGACAGCGGGGTGTTAAAATCCCCCACTATTATTGTGTAAAGTGCATTATGTGCTTTGAGCTTTAGTAAAGTTTCTTTTATGTATGTAGGTGCCCTTGCATTTAGAACATAGCTGTTCAGAATTGAGAGTTCATTTTGGTAGATTTTTCCTTTGATGAGTATGAAGTGTCCTTCCTTATCTTTTTTTATTACTTTTGGTTGAAAGTCGATTTTATTTGATATTAGAATGGCTACTCCAGCTGGTTTCTTGGGACCATTTGCTTGGAAAATTGTTTTCCATCCTTTTTCTCTGAGGTAGTGTCTGTCTTTGTGACTGAAGTGTGTTTCCTGTATGCAGGAAAATTCTGAGTCTTGTTTATGTATCCAGTCTGATAGTCTGTGTCTTTTTATTGGAGAATTTAGTCCATTGATGTTAAGAGATATTAAGGAAAAATGGCTGTGGCTTCCTGTTATTTTTTTTTTTTATTAGAGGTGGAATTATGTTTGTGTAGCTATCTTCTTTGGGGGTTGTTGGAAGATTACTTCCTTGCTTTTTCTAGGTTCTAGTTTCCTTCCTTGTGTTGGCGTTTTCCATCAATTATCCTTTGAAGTGCTGGGTTTGTGCGAAGATATTGTGCAAATTTGGTTTTGTCATGGAATATCTTGGTTTTTCCATCTATAGTGATTGAGAGTTTTGCTGGGTGTAGTAGTCTGGGCTGGCATTTGTGTTCCCTTAGGGTCTGTATGATATCAGTCCAGGATCTTCTGGCTTTTATAGTCTCTGATGAGAAGTCTGGTGTAATTCTTATAGGTCTCCCTTTATATGTTACTTGACCTTTTTCCCTTACTGCTTTTAGTATTTTTTCTTTCTTTCTTTCTTTTTTTTTGTACATTTGATGTTTTGATTATTATGTGACAGGAAGTATTACTTTTCTGGTCTAGTCTGTTTGTTGTTCTGTAGGCTTCTTGTATGTTTATGGGCATCTTGTTCTTTAGGTTAGGGAAGTTTTTCTCTATAATTTTGTTGAAGATATTTACTAGCCCTTTAAGATGGGAATCTTCACTCTCATCTATACCTATTATCCATAGGTTTGGTCTTCTCATTGTGTCCTGGATTTCCTGGATGTTTTGGGTTAGGAGCTTTTTGCATTTTGCATTTTCTTTGACAGTTGTGTCAATGTTTTCCATGATATCTTCTGCACATGAGATTCTCTCTTCTATCTCTTGTATTCTGTTGGTGATGCTTGCTTCTATGACTCCTGATCTCTTTCCTACATTTTCTATCTCCAGGGTAGTCTCCCTTTGAGATTTCTTTTTAGTTTCTATTTCCATTTTTAGATCATGGATGATTTTGTTCAATTCAATCACCTGTTTGGTTGTGTTTTCTTGCAATTTTTAAAGGGATTTTTGTGTTTCCTCTTTAAGGGCTTCCACCTGTTTATCTGTGTTTCTTGTACTTCTTTAAGGGAGTTACTTGTGTCCTTCTAAAAAATCCTCTATCATCATCATGAGAAGTGATTTTAATTCTAAATCCTGCTTTTCTGATGTGATGGGGTGTCCAGAGTTTGCTATGGTGGGAGAGCTGGGTTCTGATGATGCCAAGTAACTTTGGTTTCTGTTGCTTGTGTTCTTGCGCTTGCCTTTCGCCATCTGGTTAACTCCAGTGTTACCTGTGCTCAGTGTGTCTGACTGGAGTCTGTCTTTCCAGTTTTCTTGCTTGTGTCAGGACTCCTCACAGTCCAGATGTCTCTGTGTCCCTGTGATTCCCTAGCTCCTGGGTGGTAGAACTCCTGAAACTCAGGCTGCCTCTGGGATCCTGAAATCCTGCTGCTCTTGCAGCAGCCCCTCTAGGATGGCTCAGGATAAGGTTTCTCCACAGGAACAAACCAGCTAGGTGTCCGCCCCAGCCAAAAGGCTAATTAATTAATTTTTGAAACAGAATCACACTATATATAGTCCTGGCTGACATGGAATATGCTGTGTAGACCTATCTAACCTTGAACTCACAAAGAGATCTGTTTGTGTCTGCTATGCCTCCCTAGTTCTGGAATTAAAGGCACATGCCATCAATATATTTACACACACACACATGTATATGTACGTGTACCTGTATATGTATATATGCAGACAGATTGTTTTCCTGCACCCGGGACTCCTCAGTTTGGTTAGGCTAGCTGTCTGCTGAGCACCAGGGGTCTGCCTGTCTCCTCCACAACTTCTCTCAAGTGCCGAGATTGCAGATATGTGCATGGTGCTGATTATTTAAAGTCAGGTACTTCACTGATAAAGTCACCTTCCAAACCTCACTGAGCTTTTTAAATGTCTCTGTAGTTCCACCTTTTCCATCAGTTTTAAAACCCACACCCAGAATGTGAATATCCTGAACAGGGGCTAACTTCAATATCTGGCTTTCTGCTTCTTATACTTCTGTGTCCTAGCCTTGCCTTGTCACCTAGCTTCTGGAGCCTCTGTGTTAGCCACCTTCCTGAGGCTGAGCAGAATAATGTTTGTGTAAGAAATACAAAACAAAACTCCAGTTTGAGCTGTAACTACTTGTTGTGTTCCTGTTGCTCCGCAGGAAGTTCTGACAGTGTTGTTGATACGTGATGCTGTGGCATTTTACTCCAGTTTCTCCCTGTCCTCATTCACAAAGTGCCCATGTGCAGGAGACATGTACTTGAGTGGGAAGAGGTGCCAGCATCAGGGAAATGTAGAAGTTAGCATGTTAGAACTTGGAAGCTGATGGTGGAGATCATGCTATCCATGAGGACTATGGAGCCCATGCCAAGGAAAGCCTTCCTACCCTTCTCATCTACCCCAGCAGCCCAGAGCACAAGCCTCCTCAGCCTTCCTACTCATTGTGCCCTCAGTAACTGAGAGCCAATTACAGAATCATAGCCTGGGCTTTCCTGACTCTACCTGCACTGATTAACCCATTGGCTTCTCTGTGGTGTAGGAGACCAGTCAGGGGATGAGAATATCACTCAGATGCTCAAGCGGGCTCATGACTGCCGGAAGACTGCTGAGAACGCCGCCAAAGCCCTACTCATGAAGCTGGATGGCAGCTGCGGGGGAGCCTTCGCAGTGGCTGGCTGCAGCGTGCAGCCCTGGGAGAGCCTGTCCTCCAACAGCCATACCAGGTACTGCTCGATGCTCTGCCCTGTGGCTCCTCTGCCTGCAGTGGGCTCCTCACCAGCCCACTCTAGGTGACAGTGTGATTTGGATACAGCAGGGCTGCTTCATGTTTACAGCCTGTTCTACCCAAGAGCTATGAGGAGGGGCTAGAAAGTGGCTTTTGTTATGCTTCTGTGGAAAGTACAGTCCAGAGAGACAGGGCTGTAGAATCCAGTAGGGATGGAACAAGAGTGCAATCTATTTAATACTCTTCTCCCTGTACTGTTCTGTTTCTTTATCATTCTCCATTTCCAGGAATTACCTGGAGTGACTAAGGCTCACTGCTAAAAGACCCCGCCCACCTTAAGCTAGCTCCACTCTTCTTCCCTGTGCCCTTGTCCTCCAAGAGCTCTTCCATGGCAAGAGGCCCTCCCGTCCCCTTTATCAAGTGAGGCTATATTTTCAGTGCCTCTTAGGGAGGCAGTTAATCATGAGCCTCAGTCACATCTTCCATCCAGGAATCCAAGGGCTCTCAGAAGTGGTGAAGAAAGCAGTGGAGACACAGCTCCGTCCCTGGAGCAGGCTGATCTTTCTCAATGAGGGCAGGGCACCAGAATGAAGCCTGTCTAGCCTTTTTCTTTTTTCTTTTCTTTTTTTTAATACTCATTTCTGCCACAGAAGCTCTACTGTGATCACACCCGCCTCTTTACTTGCCAATTCTCAGACTGGAATATGGTTGTCTGTTTCTTACTGGACTTTCCTTTGTGGAAAGCCAAGGGTGATTTACTCCAGTTTCACAGGTGACACCACCTTGGCTCAGAGATGTGCAATTGGCATGTTTAAGAGCACATGCCTGTTAAGAGAAAAATCTAGAACTTCGGCACCAAGCACAGTTTCTCTTCTGGTTCCTGACACTGGATCTCAGGTCATATAAGACGCTCTGTTCCATGCAAGTGACAAAAGCTACATAAAGATCGATAGGATGTCTAATGCCAAAACACAAGTACTGATGTTTTCTTGAAGCCTAAAAGCAATTTGATATTCCTGTCTCCCACTGGAGGGAACCGCCATCTGCCTCAGTATATCATATGCATACACACTGGACCCCATGTCCCAGGAGGGAGCCCATTCCCAATCTTACAGTTGGCCACAAACACAACGGGATTACTTTTTTCTACACTTTAGCAACATGTATTTTATTCAATAGCACATAGATTATAATTTTTCACTTAAAACCATACTCTTTTGTTTAAATTCAAAAGCAGGTGCCCTTTCCATGATGTTTCCAGGTATTTATAATCTATTCTTTCCATGTTTATGTTATGCGCTCAGCTTGTCAGTGAGATTCTTCTGTACAGCTCGTGATTGTTAAGAGTTAACAGAAACTGTCTTGCTTAATTGTCTGAACACATCTCCCTTTCCTGCAAATAATTCTGCTGTTTCAGTCTGAGTCAGAGACAACTCTGGAGTCAGTCAAAAGTGAGAATAAATTTCTAACTTTCTATTAGTGGAGATCTGATTTTCAGTATTTGTTACAGGAGATATTTGGTGTATAGGTAAGCTTGTTTCTTAGAACATTTTCTTGAGAAATTGAATTTTTGACTTTGCATTTCTATAGGAAGAGAAAAATTCAGACTTAGACTTTCTGCTTTCAAATATAAGCTTATTATTAGTCCCAGTACTTGGGAGGCAAAGGCAGATCTCTGAGTTCAAGGCCAGCCTGGTCCACAGAATGAGTTCGAGGACAGCCAAGACTACACGGAGAAAACCTGTCTCAAAAAACCAAAAGCAACAACACACCAAAAAGGAGTTCACTAAAGACTAGCTGGCTGTTTAGGGCCAGCAGCTGGCTCATTGGGTAAAGCAATTACTATGCAGGCATGAGTTCAGATCCCAGCACCCACATAGCTGCTGAGCAAGCATGATGGCCTGCCTATAATCCTAGTACTCAGGAGGCAGGGATAGGGCAGGAAAGACACTCACATGCATGAACATACCCACACATGTACTACACGTGTGTGAAGAGGGAGGTGGGTCTCTGTAATAAAGATTAATCTCAAATGGATCTTCCATCAAACACAGGTTGTTAACTCTGATTCCACTAAAATGCCCTCTTGCCTCTGTCACAGCAGTTCAGAGCCTGTACAGTAGAATACACAGGGAATACCTGTGGTTCTCGTTAACCGTTAAACAGACACAGTTGGAGTGTCTTTATGTCTTTATGATAAACATAGGTTCAGAACAAAGTTCCTAACCATCGGGCTACAATATTATGAGTGTTTTTATTTATAAGTTTTGGAATTCTGGCCCAAACGCTGTCCTGTGATAGGTTTTTCAAAAAAAAGAATGAAAATGGAGCTTTCTGAGCCAGAGCTTTGTGTGGCCCAGTGCGCTCCCTTCTCTCTCACTGAAACCACCTTGCCTTGAGATGTGCAGTCAGGGTATCAGCCCCTCCTACCGAACGTCTCAGAAAAGGAAGGCTCAGGTCAGGTCTCTGGAGGCATCTCACAGCTCCTGAGGACAAGAGGGTTAATGGATTTGGGAAAGAGGCACAAAGGGTTAGTTACCCAACAAAAAGGATATGGATGAGAGCCACCCCTCAGAGGATGCTCTTAGCAGGATCCCTGCATGCAAGAGAAAAGAGGACATTTATTCTTTTCAGATTACAGCTGCAGATCCATCAAGCATGGTTGTCTTAATGGGTAGAACAGCCAGGTAAGGCTGATTGCCTTCATAGCTTTATCAACATATCACAGCACAGAGGCAAATGGACTGAATTGTCTGTAAGTAGAGGTAGGCGTTATCAAACCCCCTGTGTCAAACACTGGATTTTCTGCTTATTCTGTGGAAGTACATTAACCGATCCAATCCATGAGTGTGCAGAAAAGCCATAGCAAGCGTGCCCTACTAGGAAGTAGAATTGATGCTATTTTCTTTCAGCAAAATGGACCAGGGGTATGCAATCTGTGAAGAGTGATTTCAGTCTTGCTGTGAAGCCTCCTTGGTCCTTGAGTACCTAAGATGCTCACTGGCTGGTCATGCCATCTGGGGCATGATTTCCACACTGCAGTAGAAGGCTGTGAAGCACCAGAAAGGCCTGGTCTGTACTCTCTGTACTAGTCCTGGCTAGGATAAAGTTTCACAGGCAGGAAAAATGGTTTTGACCAGTAGAACACTGTCTGTTGCAAAGGTGATGTCCTGGAACCCCTGTCTAGTCAGGAGAGGCCTCTGCCACCCCCAGCAGCAAACTTTAGGGAATGAGTCAGATGGGCATGGCTGTTATAGTGTCAGTGAGCACCAGCACCCAACTGAGATATTCCTCAACATGACAGTGTGCTGGTCTGACCCTAGTCCCTTTCCTTCTCGGCTCATGTGGCTAGAGTATGCACTGCTTTCTGTACTTTTTACTTCTTCATCTTAAGACCTAACTTTAGGAAACTGTCAAATCTGTACACCCATTTTAAAAATAAACAATTAAGTCCTAACCTGGCAAAATGCAAAATATGCAGTGTAAGTCCTCCATGCTAGGATTGCTACCAGGAAAGGACCACTGGGAAATACTTCAGCATAGAATTTCATACTACAACTAGGGTCTCATAAATTAATATTTGGGGTTGCAAAGGACAGAAATATGCAAAATAGCTTAAGAGGGGCCCTGACTGAAAGGCTATGGGGCTCTATATGCATGAGATAAATGGCAACTTAAGGCAGAGGACTGTCGTATGCCTGAGCAACATGACCTGCCAGTGAGAGGTCACAAACACACCAGGCTCTGCATCTAGCCGTTGTGGCTCTGCACTGGCTGACATTTTCATCCTGTTTCAGCAGCCTTCCCTAGGTGACAGAAAGGCATCAGCCTACCTGCATTGATATAGGAGGCTAACTCGCTTCATTGATGTTGTAAGAAAACCTTAGTGGACATGCCTGGGTTGGGACCATGTGGTTCTTTTAGTGACAGGGATGGGGGTCATCTGGAAGTCAGAGATGGCACCTGGTGCAGAGGAATGGAAGAAATGGCATTTGGCAACTGGAACTAGTGTGAATGGTTGTGTCCAATTGCAGACAGGATAGGCAGAGGGCAGGGGTATGTTTTGGTTTTGAGCCTGGCCCTCATGCCCCTCTCTTAGACTGTAGCTAGCATCTTGAGCAGCAAAGTTGCAGCAGAATGTTCTGACAGTCACCCGATGCAGAATAAACTATCTTGATAGGAACTCCAACAGAACAGAGGGATGATCACCAAAAACACCCCATAGTTCTTATATCATTCCTGAGAAAACCAGGGCAAAGCACAGACATGTATAGCTGGCTATGCCTGGGCTCTTCATCTGCAGGTTTTCCTTCCATTCTGCTCTCAAAGCATCTCCAGGCACCAGCCCCGGAGAGGAGGGATTGGGCAGCCTGTAGAAAGTGATTTATTCCGCTTGACAGCTGAGCTCATCCTGCGTTCCAAGCTGGGAGAGGTAATGGATGACTTAGCCCTCTCCTGGCAGCCAACAGCGGCCCTCGGGAGGCCAGAGGAAGGGCCAGTGGCTTCCCCTCCTTTCACCATCAACATAATCATATTGGGCTGTGGAACATTAAGGGCATGAAGCAGAATTGTAATTACCATCGCCTGGTCTGCTCCCTGCTGGTGTCCTGGAAGGGGGAGAGCTAGGCTGGTGGGGTGCAGGCTGTGATGCGTGCCTTGAAATTTAGTATTCCCCTGGAAGAGCAGTAAAAGCTCTGAGCTCCCAATAGGGTCATATCTGTGGATCGGGGCATTCTGTACTTTTTTCTTTGTGTCTAGCAAAAACAGTAAAAACCAAAACCTTCCTTTCTGGCCAGTGAGCAACCTGCAGGTGAAGAAATCCAATACTCCCTGCCCACTAGTGTTCTGCCAGAGGGGGTCTCTAAGGTCTTCGAGAACCTTCTTCTCCTCCATCACAACTTTCCTGCATGGTGGCAGGTGTCTGACCTCTGTTGGACACTGAGGCTGGTGGTGGGTCTCTTAACTCAGTTGTCAGGAAAGTGTCCCTTGACCTTTTTCTTCACCTAGAATTCACACAAGGTGGCACCAGCTCACCCCTCCCCTACTCTGGGAGGTAGAAACCACCCTCTTGACCAAAGCCAGATAAGTTACGCAATTCCCTTCAGGCCATGAAGCTGGAGTGTGTCAGAAGGTGGCTGTGCAGGTGTGACTGGCTACAGGGGACTGTTAGCTATCATGAGCGTCCACCTGAGGAGCAAACAGCTGCCCCACCCCTCGGAAAATGTGGGGCCAGCCAATTAAGTTACCAGTGAGTTTTCATTTGTTGCCACCCTGGTGGCAGGCACAGTGTGTAGTCTGTCTTAAGGAACCCATTATTAATTGCTGTCATCCCTTATCTACTCCCAGAGGTCTTGATATTGTGGGTGTTGGCAAAGGGCATGCCAGCCTAGGTAAGACTGAAGCACGGAAGCAACTACCTCAGAGCCCAGAAGTTGTGGGATAGAATAGAAATTTAAATGTGTCCTCCCTCC